TATTATTACACAACAATAATAACAATATTAATATTATAATGCAGTACCTAGGTAGGTATACCAGAAGAAAACCGACGACGGTGATTTATTATTTTCATCGGTTTCGTTCGCGGGGAAACACACATTATTCGTAATAAATAAAAAATAACAAAACGCCTCCCTCGAACATTTTATTACATTCTATAACATGTACAGTGTACACACAATGTACAATAGTATATAGGTACCTATATATAGGCTAATATTATATACATATATATTTAGCCGATACCGCGACGACGATATGATATACGGTCGACGTATTTTTCTATCCGGCGCGCGTTATTTATTTTTTTTCATTTCGACACAAATAATTAACTCCTAAATAAACTAATAAAGAACCATTTTTGGGTTCGTTGTTTTAAATATAATTATGCGCTTACCCATGTGTAATTTACGCGTTCGTGCCGAGGGCGCCATATACGTCGTATATTATTTACCTCTTTAAAACATAATTTGTCCCGCAGACACGTCACAACAGCGGCGGTGCTTACGATAACATATAGGTATTAGGTATGTACCTATTGTACCTATAGATAAACGGTATGTAAAAAGAATATTATTATTTTTCATCAACTTCCAAGGAGTGTATTTTGTTATTTCGTTTGTGTTGCATAAGTCCATATGACATGTACAGGATGATTTCTTGCAGAAATTCGATATAATTTTATTTTATGCAAATTTTACCCTCTTTTTTACTGTAAATAGTGTAAATGCATGTATTGAAATTTAATTAAATATAATTATTTAAAAATATACATTACCATTTGTTCGTATTTACAAATAAGTATTTATATAAGTACTACTGTATGCGTATATTGCATACCTATGTATACAGTTTACATAAAATTGTGTATATTTTACTTACGTTTTGTTTATTATACAATTTTTGATATGTCATAAAACAAATAATTTGACATTTAGAAACTGTGTGATATACTCAAATAACCACAAAAAAAGAATACTTTAACTAATTCTAAATGAATATAAATATTTTCTACTAAAGGTTCACATATTTTTCTTAATCTATAAAAAATATTAATTAATATCAATAATTTGCTATAGATTAACTTGTTCAACTTTTCTTTGTTGAGTTTCCATATTATACTATTTTGATCTTTTATACAGTTTTACTAAACATATTGTATTATTAAAATTAATAATTATATCAATATTTTTGATTTGGAAAACCAGTAGCTTATAATTTATTCACCTCAGTATTTTAGTTATGTTTTCTGTCGACAAGAATGATATTAGGTATTTAGTACTTACTACTTAGGTAAATTACTGATGAGTGAAGAGTGATGCACATGTATTTGATATCTTATATTTTATAATCGTTATATATTAGACATTAGCATTAATAAGCTTTAAATAGTATATTTAAATATATTGATGTGATAGTTTACTGGAAATGAATTAGCAGACGATTTAGCCAAAAAAGCAACCAAAGAATTTACAGCTGATTTTTGGAATCCAACAACTCACTTTGACACAAACTTCATAACCAAAAATATATAAACCTAAATCAAAGATGCCAACAAGAATGGAGACTAAGAAACAAAAAACTGAGAGAAATTAAATCAACCACCTTTCCATGAGTGCATGACGTGCAGTCTCACCCGCGTAGACATCAAACCATAATCACCAGATTAAGAATTGGTCACACCTTAATATACGAACACGGATATATAATGAACAAAAAGGAACCACGTTAATGCACCTCATGTAACACCACGTCTACAGTATAACACTTATTAACCGAATGCCTCTTGACAAAAGACTCCTGAGACAAATTGATGCTCCCCTACAATCTATGTGAAATACTATCACCCAACACAACACAGAGAGAACATCGACTCTTCTGGAAGTCCTCAAAGAGACTTACCAATTTCAGGAAATATAACAACTAACAAGAACACATAGATTTTATCACATGTATTTTCAATAACTTAAATCTTAATGTATCATTGTATCATGTTCAGATATATTGAGTAAAACTTTAGTAGTATACTACAACTATACTAGTATGTATTTTAGAAATTATAAAATTAAAAGTGTTTTTTCAAAAACGCCAATAACACTGGTATTTGAGGCGTATTTCTAAATTTAAAAAAAATAATATATATATTGAATTAAATATTATTTTTAGTATATAAAGTATATTGATCAAAAACTCAATTCAGATATTGTATCAAAATATTTTTTTTTAAAAATTGGAATATATTTAAATATATGGACGTAGTCATTGGAAAACAAAAAGCGTTTATCGCCATGAGATAATGCCAAAATACTATTTAATGATATAAATTGCCTCAGAAGTCAAGTGATTTAACTTTAAAATATAGTATCTTAGTATTATGGGCACCTACCTACTTTGTTTAAAATTCGGGATTCGAATAAACACTATACTTTTTTAAGCAAAAAATATTCAAATGGTGAACGTGCATTGTAAAACATCACATTGTAGAATAATATTACCTGCCGTTACTCAGATTATAAACTACAACTGCAACAATAACTTCTACCCAGCAGTGAATAGCAATAATTCGCATACACAAACTTCTCTTTTGCATATTTATTGCCCAAATAAGAATGAAACGTGCTATTTTCAACTTCTCCGATTTAAATTCTGATGCGATTCACCAAAACTTTTACTTATCGCAAATTGTTGACACATTTGAAGAATGGTTGGAATATGCGCTAGCCATTATGTAAGATGAGCTTAACGACTTAAAGTGTATATCGAATTAATTGTGTACTCGTTATAAATTCGAGTTTATCGTCAGTGTTAAGTTTTAGAATAATTATTTTGTTTTCACAACAAAGTTCAATGTGATAAAACTCCACGGAACAAGCATAAGCGTAATTATGGTGTAATTATAGTGTATAAATAACCTATTTCCCCTTTGCATTGTTATACAATGTATAACAACAGCTAATCGATCTGCTGTTGCGCTTTGATGTATCATATGATAAACAATGTTTTTTGACATGAAAAATGTCAAGATATATCATTCATCCCGCCTTTAAGACAACATAAAAATTAAAATACATTTATTATCAATGTTTGAAAAATAAAAGTTATAGGTACCTACATTGAACATGAACATATTTTTAATATCAACTTTGCGAGTGTACGATATCATTAAAATTAGATTAATTACTGAATTAAACATTTACCTACTTAATTTATTCAAATTTGTAGAATATTATTTAGTTATAACTTATAACATAATGAGCGCTGAGCATACTATGAAGTATGATTTAATTGTTTTTTTAAGTGAATTCGAAAGGATAATATTGATCATATTTCATGCATATCTCCGAATTGAGTATGTAGAATTAACTATGGGTAGGTGTATTTAATTTAATAAATAGCTTTTTTTATGTACATACGTAGGTACTGCAGGCAAGTATTGTAAAGCAACATCCGATCGGTCAAATAAACGCAGGCCAGTGTGTTATTAAAAAAAGTAATTAATTAGTATCGTTGAAAGAAAAAATTGTCTTACGTGTCAATTAAACCACAAGAATGGTAGACTTATTTTTTTCTAGGTGAGTTAGCATTGTTGAAAAATAAGAAACATCAGGACCTCAATAATAATCACTATTTAGTTACATTGTACTTATAGAGGTCCTTAAATTTGGCCGCTTAACTTGAATATTTTTATCCAAAATGTTTTCAAAAATTGGTAAGTAATTTGTAAGTTCACGGAAGCACAAAATGGGAATTTGTAAGTTCAGTCGTTTTCAATAATCCATAAAAGCTTAAATCATGGATAACTTCTGCGAAACTTGGCCTTGTATCATTCCAAAATTTTCGTCCAAGCAAAAATGTCCTGCACAGTTTGCCAGTATTTGTAAGCAAGAATTTAAAATTTTGAAGTCATCCTTCCCATAATAATTTAATTATTTCTACTACAAATACTCCATGATTTCACAAATTTATTCAGTTTTATAAGGACGTCGTCTTACTTCAATGGTAAATTAATTGGTGAAAATGGTATTTATAAAGAATAATAAATCATAATTATTTCCAAAAATGTGCATATGAATTATTATTTAATAATAATAATAATAATATTAGTATAATAATGAAATTATAAAATGTAGCTCTTCTATCGAACGACGCGCTCCTGGTGTCAGAAAAATCGTGCGCTTTTTGTCGGTACACTTTAACGACAGGCGGCTATAGGAGTTGTCCTGAGTTTTCCATGGTAAAAATAAGTTGTATTATAGAGTTATACAATGCAAATTAAAATAAAATATTTTGATTCTTATAAAAATTTAAATTTAAAACAGTAGTATAACACAGAATATGAATACTATGATGAGATTAAGGATTAAGGATAGTAAAAAATGTCAGATTTTATATTTACATAATATTATTAAAGTTCATCTCACATGTAACTATTATACCCCAAAAAAATATTCCAAACCTAGCATTTGTCAATAATGTTTGAAATAATGAATGTTTTTAGGATGCAGACTTGCATCTCCGAGCCACTGAATACATACAACTTAAAACATATTTTAGAATTTATTTACAAATCTAAATTAATCAACAAAATTTAAAATTTGTCTATTTCATTATACCTACATCCATGTACCATATAATGATAAGTATGTTAATAATGTAGTATAAAATAATGTGAACCTGTAATGTCAGTCCAATGGCTTTAGCTGCCGCGGACTTAATTTACGAGTAATAATAAAAAAAAATTAATATTTTTATTTGAATCTCTTAATATTGGATTATAAATTTTAAGTATTTGTTTATGTTATTAAATTTTTTAGTGACTGTGTTGTAAGTTTTAAACATTATAATAAAAAATGCAATTCGGATGAATTATATTCATAAAAACCTTTAATAAAATCAATTTATATTTTTCTTAACATCCTAAACATAGAGTTTAAATTTAACAAACTGCAAACACTACATGATTTCACGAATTTATTCAGTTTCCCAAGGACGTCTTACTTCGATGGTAAATGAAAAGCACCCAACTTCTTCTAGATTTTTTTTCCAAATACATAACCTTAAATATGTAAGTTCCATAAAAAAGTTGTTTAGGAAAATTTGTATTTACTGGATAGTTCGATATATTGTAGCCTTTGAAAATATATATTCCCTAAAAATAAATATTCGATTGTGCTCATATAATATATTATTAAAAATAATTCATTTTGCTGAAAAATTTTTTTTTTAAAACAACTATTACCGGTGGCATCTCATTTTGTATTGTATCATTTGCTCCAAAGCTATTCATAAAAATTGGAAATTCAGCTCCAAGAAGTTTTTTAAGACTTGAGTATGCTTTAGGTGAATTATATACATACGCATTATTTTGCCAAGTACCAATTTTATCTCTTATTGCCATAGTACCACGAAACTATAACAGTAAATCGACCAGCTTATCCAATTTATTACAAGAATTTTTGTTAGTATAATTTAAATAACTATTTATAATAATAGTAAAATAAATTATTGACGGAAAAATAATATCATAATATATATTTATTGATATATTCTGACAATGATAATATCATTGAATTAATTTTTATAACATACAATATAGTTACCCACTCTACAAATACCGTACAGGAAAGAGGTAAACACGCTATCCCGACTTTTTATAATTCTATATGAAAAAATAAAAAATTATTTTTTAAATCTATGAAAATTGCATAACTATAATTTTTTATTTATGAATTTTATTTTACAAAACTTACCAATAAAGAATCATCAAATGGCCTGTTAAAAATTGATATATTTCCTCTAAGTTCAGTTGTAGTTCTAGATGTCTTGGACAAAAAAAAATTGAACTGCAAACTGGAATTATGATTTACATGGCATTGTTGAGTAGCAATGACATTTACTCGAAATTCTCCCTAAAATAACAATTCCATGTTTATTATTTATATTTAAATTGATATAATGATATTATCATATATGTTTCCTAGTATGATTGAAAAATATATCTGATAACATGATGTGATGGTCTTATGGTCAAAAGTGTAAATAAATTCTGGAGACGATGATTGATGATTTATATAGACGAAAAAAGATTGAGAAGACATATATCAATTGTATCCAAAAGTGAATTTTTTTAAATTAATAGATTTTATGGATAAAATGTATTGCACATGACTATATTAGGTTGTCGATTGTCTTTAAAAAATATTAAATTGAATTCACCAACATATGATTTTTCTAGCCCTGAACCTAACTTCTAGAGTTTTGCATAACGTTTTCATGAAAATTAAGACCAAAGTTTAAGAATAACTAAGCAAATGTTTACTAATTTCTAAGATTACAAAGTTTATATTTTATAATAGTTGGTTATTTAAAAATTGTAATTCTTAAGTAGCAAGAACTACAATTTCTGCAGAAAAAGATTTTATATGGTGTTAATAATTGTAAATATATTTTATTCATTAATCAAGTTCTACTTACTAGGGGTAAATTTGGGAGAAACTTCATATCTTTTCCTCCAGAATCGACTAGAATCATAAATTCAGCAAAAATTATAAAAAAGTACTTCATGGTTCGTCAGTTTGAAGTATAATATTATGACACAGGAATAGGTAAATCTGCTTCTGATGGATATTATATTCAATGAGCTATAGAGTATACCTATTTTATACTGTCTAGACATTGTGCTTTATGACATAACTTGTTTAATCACTTGTGTCAAAAAAAAAGAATAATGACCGTTATTATTTAACTAATGGCTGCACATAAATTATCTAAATTATTATTGAATAATATAATAATACATAGGTATTGTTAACTATATCGTTCTCTGTACATTTGGGCAATTCCAAAATTGCAGTTGTTCATGATTATTGTGGATTATTTTTTTCACGTATTTGTTCGAATAAAATATTAAAATTATGAATAAAATCTGATTGTATGTTGATACCATATTATGGCCAAACGTTAGCTGAGCCAACGAGTACCTTTTTGTTGTTAACTTGGTCAGATAATTTTCACCGATAAAATATAATAATAAGTATGACGTAATTTAATTTAAAAATAATAAAAAATCAATGTTATATAATATATTTTATTCGTTACAATTCTATTATTAAATTCTGATATACAATTTGTTGAGTGAGTGACTTTTTTAGTAAGTGTTTAAAGTTGAAAATATTCACATAATTCTTTAGTATTCCGAGAATTTGATTGCTTTCATGTGTCTACCTAAGAAAAGTTTACTGGCAAGTTACATTTATTTTTTATGAATGTTTACTATTTTATAATTTTTTTTTTGTAATTCAAAAACAAATGTAATTATAGATAGGATCTTCAAATGTTTACAAATGATTATATTATAATTTTTTGGACCTACATGATAAATAAAACATTTAAAATTTTTCTAATTTTTTTTCTTATTATTGATCAAACAATTTTCGCCAGTCTTAAATTTTAAATGACAAATACAACGTTCTTTTTAAGTATAAGTCTGGATGTATTATTATTTGAAAAAAACATTTTTTAACCTACACATAGTCTCAATAACTGAATTTCAAATTTGTGTGACAATACTGTGTCGTATTGTGTGTTATGACTTTTTCTGATTTTGTGTATGAGCTGCTGTTAATAAAATCTAATATTATTTTGTTTTTCTCGTCGAAAATCGCCGAATTGATCTTGTGTTTCTAAAATTGTAAACCATAAAGATTGTATATTATTAGTATTGTGTGGGGGGAACGATAGATCAAAACACGTTTTGTATGTGTGACAAGGATTCGTTGCTATAAATCCGGGTGGTAACCCATCCGAGTGCTAGCAACGACCGCCGGTACGTAAACTCAGAGTGCTGGAAAGATTAAGCACACGACCGTTTCTTACCAAGACACAAAAAAAAAGGAAAGTAATTCTATATAAGAATTTTGAAATTCATAATTGCTTTTAATTGCTACATTAAAGACCAATTTCGTTTGACTAATCCAGCTGTTATAGTGGGAATTGCGATTTAATAATTTATTATAGTAATTAATTCATTATTTTCATATGTAGTTTATTATAAGTTTATTATTTGCTCCTGTTAATATGATATGTTTTTTCTTAGTTTACTATTAGGAGGCATTAACGTACCTACGTCTATTCAACATATATTTGCTCCTGTGCCAATTGTTACTGGAATTGTAATGTTACTTATTATTAACTCTAGCTTTTTAATATATAAAGGTTCAGTTGTATTATTTATTTTAAGGTTATATTTTGGGAAGTCTAGAGATAGAGGAGAAGATCTATTAGTGAAGTTTAACCTAGAAGTTAGTTTTTTGAGTTCTGATTGATAGATGACAAGTTTTTACCAGGTGTTTTTTGTCTAGTTGAATTGGAAGGCTTGGCAAAATTGTTTTTGTTGGTGTTCGATTTTACTCTCGTTAAACTATCAAGTATTTTCAAGAAATAATAAATCATATTTAATTTCTTAAAATGCTCATAATCACTATTATATTATAATATAGTATTATAGTATATTAGTGTGATGGTGAAATGGTAAAATGTGGCCCTTCTATCGAACGACGCGCTTCTAGTGGCAGAATAATCGTGGGCTTTTTGTTAGCCCTTCTTTACGGCATGCGACAATAGGATTTGTAAGAGGTAAAAAATGAGATGTAATATTAGTGTTACGTAATTTCAATCAAAATAGAATATTTTGATAACTATAAAAAACAACGGTTAAAAGAGTCGTAAGACACAGGAATATGAATACTACGACGATTAAGGATTGAAATTAGTAAAAAATTCAAATTTCAGATTTACATAATATGAAGTAGGTACATCAACATGAAGCTATTATACCTTATGAAAAAAATTCTAAATACTTAGATTGGCCAATAGTGTTCGAAATAATAAATATTTTTATTTGAATCATATAATTGGATCATGGACTTTAAGTTTTTATGTATATTATTAAGTGTGTGAGAAACTGTCCTGTAACATTATGATACAAATTTAAATTTGGATAAATTATATCTATAAACTACTTTAATAAAATAAATTTGTATTTTTCTTAACATACAAAACATATAGTTTAAATTTAACAAACTACAAACACTACATGATTTCACGAATTTATTCAGTTTCCCAAGGACGTTTTACTTCAATTGTAAATAAAAAGCATCCAACTTCTTCGCCATTTTTTTCCAAATACATAACTTTAAATACGTAAGTTCCATAAAAAAGTTTTTTAGGAAAATTTGTATTTGCTGGATAGTTCGATATATTGTAGCCTTTGGAGATAAATATTCCCTAAAAATATACATTTTATTGTGTTCGTATATCATTCAATATTTCATTTTGGAGACAATTTTTTTTTTAAACAACTTACTGGTGGAATAGCATTTTGTGTTGATTCATTTGCTCCAAAGCTATTTAAAAGAATTGGAAATTCAGCTCCAAGAAGTTTTTTAAGACTTGAGTATGCTTGAGGTGAGTTATATACATACGCATTATTTTGCCAAGTACCAATTTTATCTTTTATTGCCATAGTACCACGAAACTATAACAGTAAATCGACCAGCTTATCCAATTTATTACAAGAATTTTTGTTAGTATAATTTAAATAACTATTTGTTTATCTTTGTAGTGTATCACATTTCCTAAGGTATTCAGTTTTATTACCGAAGTCTATGTAGTAAATAGTATAAAGACGTGTATAGGTATATCGTATATTAAAAATTATAAAATATTTAATTTTTATAACGAAGGATTGAAAATTAAAACATTTTATCGAAAGTAGTTCATACTGTTACCAAAAACGCTAAAAGCTTATTAATAGTAAAATAAATTACTGTCAGAAAAATAATATCATAATATATACTTATTAACATATTCTGACAATGATAATATTATATCATTGAATTTATTTTTATAACATACAATATAGTTACCCAGTCAAAAAATACCATAAAGCAAAGTGGTAAACACTTAACCGACTTTTTATAGTTGTATATGAAAATATAAAATTTATGGAAATTTAATAACTATAATTTTACTCTACAAACTTACCAATAAAGAATCATCAAATGGCCTGTTAAAAATTGATATATTTCCTCTAAGTTCAGTTGTAGTTCTAGATGTCTTGGACAAAAAAAAATTGAACTGCAAACTGGAATTATGATTTACATGGCATTGTTGAGTAGCAATGACATTTACTCGAAATTCTCCCTAAAATAACAATTCCATGTTTATTATTTATATTTAAATTGATATAATGATATTATCATATATATTTCATAGTATGATCAAGAAAACATCTGAAAATATGATACGATGGTTCCATGGTTAATAGTGATCATAACTTCCAGAGCTGATGATTTCTATAGACGAAAAATGATTGAGACGACATACATCAATTGATACAAGTTTTTAAATTAATAGATTTTATGGATAAAGTGTATTGCACATGACTTGTCGTCGAGTTTCTTTCAAAAATATTAAATTAAATTCACAAAAATATGATTTTTTTAACCCTGAACCTAACTTCTACAGTTTTGCATTACATTTTTATGAAAGTAAATAATTTAAGAACAACATTAATAATGACTAAGCGGTTGTAGCCTAAGGTCTAAGATTGCAATGGTTATATTTTATAATATGTGTATATGCAAAAATTGTAACTGTTAAGTAGCCAGAGCTACAATATCTACAGAAAAAACTAGTAGGAAACTAGCTTACGATTTTCACTTTTCAAGAGTTTCTTAAATAATTATTCACACAAAAGTTGACCCAGTGAGCATCTCTAATAATATATAAGTACTATAAGTATCACGTTAAATACACGATTGTTTCAGAGCACATACAGCTATAGAAATGGTGGCGTAACTTCAGTTTTTATCAGCAAATAATTTTGTTAAAATCAAGCAATGGATTATATTCTGTTAGAATTTTTCTAGGTAAATGTTTTTTGAAAATTTTTTAATTAAGTTCAATACATACATATTTGATAAAGATATAACTTAAACCTATTTATGAATATAATTATCGAATTTATGGATCTTTTATCGATATGTTCTTGACAAGAATTAAAACTTAAAAATCTTATCCCGAGCCATTGCTCTAATAATAACAATACATATGATGAACATCTAATTATAATTGTATGGCGAAATATTTGTATTTACGGAAGCTTAGATAGATTTTACATAGTGTTAATTATTGTAAATATATTTTATTCATTAATCAAGTTCTACTTACTAGAGGTAAATTTGGTAGAAACTTCATATCTTTTCCTCCAGAATTTACTAGAATCATAAATTCAGCAAAAAGTATAAAAAAGTACTTCATGGTTCGTCGGTTTGAAGTATAATATTATGATGCAGGTGAAGGTAAATCTGCTTCTGATAAATATTATATTCAATGAGTTATAGTTTTACCTATTTTTTTATTGCCTAGACATTGTGCTTTATGACATAACTTGTTTAATTACTTGTGTCAAAAAAAGAATAATGACTGTTATTATTTCTAATAGCTGCACATAAATTATTAAAATTATTATTGAAAAATCTAATAATACATATTGTTACCTATATTGTTATCTGTAGATATGGGCAATTATGATATAGCAA